TGAATTATATCTTAGCGTCACATAGAACTGGCTGTGCACACCTATAGTCCTTGTAGAGGGAAGGGTAGTCAGAGCAACTATGCAGCAAGTTTGAGCCAGCCTGAGCTACAAGATATCTTGTTGCAAAAAGCAACTGGAGAGCAGCTGGAGAGATGATCCAGCGGAAGTCTTTGCTGCTCTTGCAGATGGTCAGAGATGCATTGCTGGTAATGGATGATTTATATAAAGTTGCCTGTGACTCCAGCTCCAGTGATGCCCTCTTCTGGCCTCTGGGTACCACCAGAACATACAGGCACATATACAGACACATGCACATATTAATAAAAATAAATAAATCTTTAAACAAACAATGGTGCTGGAAAGATGGATCAGTGGTTAGGAACACTGACTGCTCTTCCAGAGGACTGGGATTTTATTCCAAGCACCCACATGCCAGCTCACAGCTGTCTGTAACTCCAGTTCTAGGGGATATGACATCCTATTCTGGCCTCTATGGACACTGCATGTGTGTGAAGGGAAGTTTTTTTTTTTAAATAACACAAAATTTTTATGATCTGTTAACAGCATTTACATGTTTCTGGTTTTGTTTTTTTAAATTGTCTTGTTGGACTTTTGTGGGGGAGATTGGGGGAGGTAAATACAGTCTAACTATATCGCCCGGCTGACCTTCAACTCAAGATCCTCCGAAAGTACTAGGATTAGACAGTGCCCAGCTATACCCAGCTGTTTGTTTCTCTTCACAATAAACTTACAATAAATTTTATTTTCTTTAGGTACGCATAGCCGCTAAATTTATCACTCATGCACCCCCTGGGGAGTTTAATGAAGTATTCAATGGTAAGTAAAGATTGATATTGAGCTGTTCTAAGCCTTCCTTAATTATTGTCATTATTTAGCTTTCCCCCTTTTCTTTCTTTTTAAAGTTTTATTCCATTTATTTATTTTGGTGGGGGGGAGACAAATTGTGAGAGTTGGTCTCTTCTTCTACCACATGGGTCCTGAGAACTGAACTCAAGTCCTCAAGCCTAGAAGCAAACTCCTTTATTTGCCGAAGCATCTCACCAGCCCTTTCTCCTTTTAAATTTTGGTCTTTTGTGGCCCAGACTGGCCTTGAACTCTTGAGTGCTAGAACATGGGTGTACACCAACACACCTAGCTGTGAGTGCTTGTTGTCTCCTGATTCTTGATGACCTGTTACAGCTTTGCTAGAAATCGGCAATTAGAAACATTGAACTAATTCAAGGCCACTCAGCTACTAAATCTAAAAGTTAGGATTTAGCTCTAGCTTTGAATGCCTCCTTCATTAATTAGGATGCCAGTCCCAAGTAAGCAAAGACTTAAGGAAACTGGCTATCTTGGTGGCTCCCACCGGCAATCCCAGCACTAAGGATGCTAAAGGATTGCTGCAAGTTCCAGTACAACTTGGACTAAAGACTGTCTTAAAACTAAAAATAAGTGAATAGAATTTTTAAATAGCTTCATGTGAAGTAATAAGAGTGGCGGGGCTGCGTTCCCAGCACCCCGGCCGCCTGCTCGGCTAGCTTATGCCCCGAAATAACAACACACAAACTGTATTCATTTAATCACTGCTTGGCCCTTTAGCCCTAGCCCTTACTGGCTAATTCTCACATCCCGATCAACCCATCTCTAATAATCTGTGAGAACCGGTCTTACCGGGAAGATTCTAGCCTAGTCCATCCTGGGTCGGAGCTTCATGCCAGGAGCGGGGCATGGCGTCTCTCTCAGGCGTCTGCTCCTGAGAGGAAAGCTGTCGAGACTGACCTCACTTCCTCTTCCTCCCAGCATTTTGTTCTGTTTACTCCTCCCACCTATCCTCTAACCAATAAAATGGGCCAGGGCAGTGCCTTTATTAGCCAATGACCTTCCTCCATCATTTCCCCTTTTTCGGTTTAAACAAAAAAAAAGGCTTTAACATAGCAAAATTACATATAACAAAACAGTTATCAAGTAAAAGTTACAATAATCTTTATCATAACTAAGGAAAACTATAACTATAACTAACTATTCTTAACTCCATCAAAGACTCCAGAAAGATATATTACCTAAGTAAACAGGAACTAAGAAACTTCAAACTCTAGAAATGACAAAGACATCTCGCTGCCTGGACAGTCACCCAAAGTTCTTTTGTACCGTTGGGGCATCCATCTTCAGCCTTCAGGCCCATGGTATCCAGCAGACATTTCCATAAAGCAGGAAAATTCAAAGTCAGTTCAGTCACTATCTGTTGTGTCCTGCAGAATGTCTCGCAGACTCTTTCAAAATGAATCAGGAACCCCGAAAGATCATCTCACCTTAGGCAAGTTCAGTAGTCCTCTCTCTGTGGGTTCTCTGTGTCCAGTTTATGCAATAGTCCAGGCAAGAGCAGTTTCTTGCCCAAATGGCTATCAAAACTCCATAACGAGCCTCTTCGATGCCCATCTTCCTCTTGAAGTAGATTGGTGCTGCCAGGAGCAGAGTGTCTCATTGTCATGAAAAGTCCTCAGTTATTAAAACATTAAATGTCCTATTCTGTAATCTTTGAAAGACATGAAGAATGTCTATCTAAAATATATCTCTATATATCTAGAAAATCTAACTAACATGACTACAAGCTTTACTATTATCGATGATTATCCATTAACAACCTATATTTCTTAATTATACAGTACATATTTAAATGAACTACACAATCACAATACCTTAATCAAAATCAGAAACACTTATACATATAACAAAATTGACCGTAAATCTCTATCAATAAAGCAAAATCTATACTAATGCAAATTATTCATACCTATATCATATCCCCCTTTAAATGTAAAAGAACGTTTATAAACCATATTTGGGAACATGGGCGCAGTTTTTTCTCTCCAAACTGCTTCCTGCTGAATGGGGGCGTCGTTAATTAGGTCTTTCACAGTATAACCTGTGTGTTAGCTTCATCTCAGTTGGCAGTTGAGCAAAGCAATTTTCTGAAGGTGTTCACACCAACCCTTCAGGAGGGCGTGGTCCATCATACCAAATTGGAATAGAAGAAATGAACAGCGTCTCACCCTCTGTGAAAACAAAATAAGAAACTCCTTTCCAAAGCATCATGTCCTTAGATCCAAATTTCAAATTCAAGGCATTTTTAAAATATCTATGTTGGATTAGTTCAGCAGCATTTATAAATAAATATCTTTTAGCATCTGTTGCTCCTTCCTCAGCATTTAAATAATTCAAAGAGAGCATAATAGCATACAGTATCAAGATTCTCTGTGTATTTTCCATCTTTGTACAGCTTTGTTTTAACCTCTATTTCGTTTATTTTTACTTTTAACTTTTTGCTTTTTGAGACAGGTTCTCTGTATCTTTGACCTGAAGTAACTCTGTAAACCAGGCTTTGAACTCTCAGAGATCCGCCCGTCTCTGCCTCCCAGGCATTCGGGATTAAAGGTGTACACTACTACACCTTGAACTCACAGAGATCTGTTTGTCTCTGCCTTCTAGGCACTGGGATTAAAGGCGTGTGCTACCACACACAACAACTCTCTTCCTTTTTTGTATTTTACTTTAAGAACTTCAACTTTTAGTCTGCGTATATTTTTAACACACTGTAAACCATTTAAAAATTTTCTTTGTCTTTGAATCTCTCTTTACTGTATCTCTCTCTGTTTTTCTGACCACATGAGTCTTTAATTTACCAAGCAATCTCAGTAGGATTAAAGGCGTGGCTTTGCCAGCTAGATCCAGTCCATTCCTTAGCTTTCCAGCCTCATGGCTGAGGTACTGGCTGTAGCCGTGTTTACTGTGACAACTCTATGGCATTTCAAGGTCCTTGCCAGCAAGCGAGCTTCAGCAGCCTGTGCTTGCAAACCGCACGAACCGCCTGCGTAAAAGAGTCAGAGTTTGCCCTGGCAGGACAGCCCAGAAAGCTGGCATTTTTAAACGGCGCAGCTTTTTTCCTGCTACGGCTGAAAATCGAAAAGCATGCGTTCAGCTTTTTGTCAACACCATTTAAGTGTTTCGTGGCAGGACCTCTTAATGAGCTGCATTTAAAAAAATGACAGTAAATTGACTTTTTAAACTTTTACTTTTTGATTCTTCCTATGCCTTTAGTTTTAGCATAAGTGAAAACTTCAGTTCTCACTGCCTCTCCTCACAAAGTCCCATACTAAAGGGCATTTCTCAGTACTATTGTGCCTGTACAGATTCTATCTGAAGTTTATTAACATTTCAGATTCATCCAGGCAGTGGTGGTACACTTTAATTCCAACAGTTTGGAATAAAATTAGGCAGAGCTCTGAGTTCACGGCCAGCCTGATGTACAGAGCAAGTTCTACTATAGTCAGGGCTACAGAAAGAAACCCTGTTTCAAAAACAAAAAAGAGGGCTGGAGAGATGGCTCAGCGGTTAAGAGCACTGATTGTTCTACCAGAGGTCCTGAGTTCAATTCCCAGCAACCACATGGTGGCTTACAACAATCTCTAATAAGATCTGGTGCCAGCTTCTGGCCTGCAGGGACACATGCAGGCAGAACATTGTATACATAATAAATAAAAATTAAAAAAATAAAAGAATCAAAAACAAAAAAAGAAAGAAAAAGATCAGATTCAGCCAGAAACGATGACCCCTGCTTGTAATTCCAATACCCAAGAGGCTAAAGCAGGAGAATTACTTTGGTTTCAGGCTAGCTTAAGGTACAGAATGAGCCTTTGTTTCCAGAACAAAAACCAGAAAAATTATTAAATAAATGTATAGATCCGCCTTTATCATCTCATCCAGATTTTCATCTATTAGACATTAGGTGGATGTGGTGGTGCACACCTGTAACCCCAGCCACTTAGGATGCTGACAGAGGACGATTACAAATTCAGGGAAGCCCGAACTACAGCATGAGACCAAACTCAAAACATAAAAAGAGGTCTTAGTTTCCCATAGTTCTTTGCTAGGTATGGTTGTGTACACCTGTAATCCTGGCACTCGGGAGATGGAGGCAGGAGGATCAAGAGTTCAGACTCGTGCTCGCTTGCAGCAGCACATATACCAAAATTGGAACAATACAGAGATTAGCATGGCCCCTGCGCGAGGATGACAAAACAAAAAAGAGTTCAGACTCAACCTTAGGCATAATTCCATAGGAACCTATGGACATTAGTGTCCATTACTCATTAGCATGTTTAGAATTTTCATACATGGAGTATACATAAAGACTCCCTGAATTTTAAAAATATATTCTAGAAATGGACCAAAATTTCTTGAGTTTGTTCTGTACTCAGTGTATTCCAATGCTTTCTTCCTCAGATGTCCGGCTACTACTTAATAATGACAATCTCCTCAGGGAAGGGGCAGCACAGTAAGTACCTCTTAAGCCCACGGTTGGGAGTGCAGCTCTGACAGAGAGCTTGACTAGCCTGTGTGTGTGAGGCCCTCAGTACAGGTCAGCACTGCAAACCAACAATCTCGTTCATCCACTGGATGATCTGTGGTGACAGTAAACTAGTACTTTGCAAAGCTAGTTTGAGACACTTCAAACTAAAGCAGTTAATCTTTGTGTTAGTGAGTCCTAAATGAAGTTCACTATCTTTTTATTTGTTTGTTTAGACTAACACTTTTATTAGTCCATAGTCTATGGCCTTATTGATTCTGGCCCAGGGTTAGATAGACCATCATGGTGTCGCAAACATGTGACAGAGATTTCTTACTTAATGGCAGACAGAAAGCACAGACAGGCACAAGATCCAACCCGAGGACATCCTCCCATCTTTTTCAGCTAGGGCCTACCTCCTTATGTTTCTGGAACCTCCTAAAATTATTGCCAGCTGGGGACTAGACCTTCCAAACCAAGCCAAGACAGTCTCTTCAACTATAGAAAACTGTTCTAAGAGCTGTTACCTAGGAAACAATTGAGAACCGTTTGTGGTAATGCTTCATAGCCAAGCTGTATGTCTTACTTACTTTTCTTTCTCTCTCTCAAATTGGTAGAGGAAACATGTTCCCCCTAAAACTTTTGTTTTCTTAAAACTTAATGTATCAAATTGCTAATTTTTGGTTTTGTCTAGATTTTTTTCTCATTAAAGCAAAATTTTCCTAGTTCATACGGTTTTTGTTTTGTTTTGTTTGTGTTTTTAGTTTTGGGAGGTAAGGTTTCATTATGTAGCTAAGGCTGATCTGAACTTGCTATGTAGGCCAGGCCGGCCTAATACTTGGCCTCAAAGCAGTCGTGCCTCTGCCCCTCTGTCTCTTTGCCCCTCTGTCTCTCTGACTCTGTGCCCCTCTGCCTCTGCAATGCTGAGATTGCAGGTGTGTGCTACCATGCCTAGACATAATGTGGAATCTTTTTACACTGCTACTTATAGAAAAGTTAGCCTGCTAATAAGTATTGATTGATAAAGCTTCACAAATAATAACTAATTACAGGATAAAGTCATGATTATTCTCCCTGGTCACTGAATCCCAATTGCTGACAGGTGAACTAATCTTACTGAAATACCAGATCCAGCCAGGTTGAATGGTGCATGTCTGTAATCCCCACACTTACTAGGCAGAGGCAAGAGAGTTAGGAACTCAAGACCAACCTCAGCTACATAGCAAGTTCTAGACAAGCAAGTGAGATGTCATGCACAAAAAAAATAGTATTTTCAGTCTTCTTTGTCTTCAAAAACATAGTGGTAGGGCTTGTTTGGCTTGGGATTTTTGTTTTGCTTGTTGATTCTTCTTTTAGAGTCATATACAAACAATGACTTTCAAGGGCCCATGTTACCTGGCTTTATCAATACTCTGTTCTTCCCAAAATTCCCTTTCAGTTACTGTCTACCCAACTGGCCCAAAGTCTCTTTGTAAAGAGGAAACCTGAATTGAATATTACTGGAAAGAGGTGGACTGGGGAAGGGGGAGGCGTACAAGAACATGTTGATGCAAAGCATACAACTATCCCAGTTATTTGGGTATGCTATATAATCTGTTTGAATTTGTTACCTAGTAAACAATCGTTTGCCCTGTCCATGATGCTTTTGGGACTAGATTCTGTTGATCTAGGATTTCAAGACCATCACTGTAATTCTCTTCATGGCTGATACCCTAGATATAGTTTACTTAGGAAACTAAGGTCCACATTGAAGAAACTCCATATAACTCTCAACATATTACTACTGATACTAGGGTAGAATGACACTCAGAAGTGCTTGAAGGCAACCATGCTAGTGCAAGCAATCTCAGAATTTGGTAGGTGAGAACAGGAGGATTGACATGTGTTCAAGGCTAGCCTGGGCTACAGATTGAAACTCTTAACTCAGTGGTTCTCAACCTTCCTAATGCTGTGACCTTTTAATACAGTTCCTCACGTTGTGGTGACCCCCAACCATAAAATTATTTTCATTACTCCTTCATAATTTTAATTTTGCTGCTATTATGAAACATAATGTATCTGATATGCAGATAGTCTTAGGTGACCCTTGTGCAAAGGTGATCCTCCTCCCACCACTCCCATAGGTTGAGGAACAGTGCTCTAACTCAAAACAAACACAGTAGTTGTCCTTATTTCTAATCAGTACTGGTTGTGTCGATACATAGTTCAGATGTGTCTGCTGGTTTAATTATACTGACAGACACCAAAGCTGTGTGTGTGTGTGTGTGTGTGTGTGTGTGTGTGTGTGTGTGTGTTTGTTCAAATTCTTAGAGATTTCAGGTTTTTGGAGAACCTACTTGTTAAAGGAGTATTTTCCTGTGCCCAAATAATTTGATTTTTTTTTCTTGGGTAAGAAAAGTTCACCTTATTTCTGGAATGAAATGCTTTAGTCTTTTGGTGTCTAGTACATGGTGTTTCAGTAATCCTCTCCATCATTATTGCTTCCTTTATAAAGTGAAGGAGACTTATTATAGCTGTGTATAAAATATACATAGATAATGCATTAGATTGGCCTAGGATTTACCTTCTTTCCTATTATTTTGGCGCCAATGCTTCTAACCACAGAACCATTCCCTGATAGTGCCCAGCTTTTCTGGTATAAGTAGGATGTTATAGGTCACATTGAAGAGGGAATCTCATTTTGAGTGAGATGACACTGTTAAGAGTATTAAGCAGAGAATGACATGGTAAGACTTACGGTTTACAATGATCACCAGCTATGTATTCTGATAACTGTAAGGGGTAGAGGCTGGATGAAGCAAGACAATAGTTGAGAATAGTTGAGAGATAGATGTAATTTAGAGCAGAAACAGTAGACATGGGGGAGTCAGACTTTGATCATACTTACCGTAGAACTGGTGGGTTGAATGTCAAGTGTCAGAGAAAGAAAAGCTAAGGATAAATCCAAAGTTTTTGGATTAAGAAACTGGTAAACAGGAGATACTATTTACTTTTTCAATTCTTTTTTTTTAATAGTGCATTTGCTCAGTATAACATGGATCAGTTCACACCTGTGAAGATAGAAGGCTATGATGACCAGGTAATACTAACTGCTCCTTAAGACGGTTTTAAATAATCTGATAGCTAGTCTGTGGTTGGCAGGTGATAGAGGTGTAGACATCATCAACAGATAGTAAATTGGGTGCCAAATATATTTATGTCTTCGGTTTCAAAGTAGTCTGTGTAGTAAGAGATTCTTTGTCTTTCTGGTACTACTGGGTAGTTTTTTAATAGAGAGAAGAATGCCATTGACTTGATATGTAACTCAGTTATAAGCTGTGCATATACAACCCCTGGGTTCCAGAGAGCTACCAAGAAAGAAAATCTAGCAAAAATACCAGGAGATATTAAATTTGTACTAGTTTAAGTTATTCGAGGAATTTGCTAGTTAGGAGATAGGTATGAGAAAAAGATTTCATTTAATACATTTATAAACTATGTAGCTGTATTTCTTTTTTTTTTTTAAATTTATTTATTTATTATGTGTACAATATTATTCTATCTGTGTGTATGACTGGAGGCCAGAAGAGGGCACCAGACCTCATTACAGATGGTTGTGAGCCACCATGTGGTTGCCGGGAATTGAACTCAGGACCTTTGGAAGAGCAGGCAATGCTCTTAACCACTGAGCCATCTCTCCAGCCCTGTAGCTGTATTTCTTAAGTGCTCACAATAATACAGTGGCCCTGAAAAGTTTCATAAATATGTGAAAGTGAATACGTTAAAGTTGGTATTGTAGCTAGGAATAAATAAACACATGGAAAATACATTAGATAGAAATAAAAAAGTAAAGTATTGTTGGGAGGAGAAGTTTGTCTATAAATGTGTTTTTATGAGAATAAAAATGATACTTAATTTAAAAGTCAATGTGGGAAAGAAAAGAAATGAAAAGTTAACTTTTCTAGGATATTTTTGCAAAACATGACAAGAATTGTCTTTTTTTATAGTTACTCATATTTGTAATTCTTCTCTGAAAGGTCTTAATTACAGAGCACGGCGACCTTGGTAACAGCAGATTTTTAGATCCAAGACACAAAATTTCCTTTAAGTTTGATCATTTACGGAAAGAAGCGAGTGACCCCCAGCCAGAAGATGTTGACGGAGGCTTGAAGTCTTGGAGAGAATCCTGTGACAGTGCTTTAAGAGCCTATGTGAAAGAGCATTATTCCAACGGCTTCTCTACTGTTAAGTATCTACCTGGTCCTCCCCGGCTTTGGGACTCATTTTTCTTACATTTATCTTATCCTTCTGAAGCTTTGGCCACCAGACATCACTACTTTTCTTGTGGTAATGGTCACTTCCCTAAATCATTTCTAAAGGAATATAAGTATATGAAAAGTTCTTTTAAAAAGATTTCTTTTTATTATTTCTAATTATATATGTAAATGAGAGTAGAGGTTGTATGTGAGTACAAGTGCCCTTGGAAGCCAGAGGTATTTTTTTTTAATTATTTATTTATTATATATACAGTGTTCTGTCTGCATGTATGCCTGCGGGCCAGAAGAGGGCACCAGATCTCATTACAGATGGTCGTGAGCCACCATGTGGTTGCTGGGAATTGAACTCAGGACTTCTGGAAGAGCAGTCAGTGCTCTTAACTGCTGAGCCATCTCTCCAGCCCAAGCCTGAAGCATTTGACTCCCTGTAGTTACAAGTGTTTGTGAGCCACCTGATATGGATACTGGAGACTGAACCTGGGTCCTCTACTAAAGTAGTAC